ATTTAACTTTTGGATTTATTATATTTTTTTAACAGACACAAAAAATGTGCGGAATAAATACTCCGCACAGTGTGAAGGTTTTGCTCCGCATGCAGAGCATTAGCTCTACATTGTGCTCCGCACTCTGCATATAAATTGATTAAAAAATGATCTTTCCAAATTACCCTTGACCCGCGTGTGAACAGTGGAAGACAGATAGGGGACAGTTGGTGTAAATAGTAGATGATGGATATGGGGCAATTTGGGCTAAATAAAATGCTTCAAAATAAACAGCATTCAGCATGGTGGGGGCAATTTGGTATATCGAAAATGCTTCAAAATGAACAGTACTCAACAGATTCACTCTTTTAGCGATGCACGGGTGTGGTTATTTTTAAGATTATGTTAGTGTTGCATATTATATATTCAACGAAGTTAGCTAAATGAACTTTATTTAACCAAATGTATTTACGTAATACAGTTAAACACTAAAATATTTGACTCTTCAAGACATTATAATTTATAAATGAAAACCAAAGGATATATATATTGAACAAAATAATATTTACAGTTTTTCTGTATTATATTCAGGAATATCAATTAGAGGACTTAATCTTGGACCTGTAGATGAGATTCTTCTTCTTTGAAGTTTGATTATCTAGTGCGAGCACAATCTTCCTAGGCTCATGAGATTTGAAACTGCAAATGATCTTCAGCTCGTTAAATGGCCCAATCTTTGTCGATTTTTGTACAATCTGAGTGTACCTATCCCAGGTCAGGTTGTTGGGGTCGAGGGGATAGTGCCCCTCGTAGGGTTCGGGGGTAACGGCCCCGAAGGGAATCTACCTGCCAGGTCAGATCACGGGAGTCGAAGGGGCAGTGCCCCTTGTGACTCAGGGGCAATGCCCCCGAAAGGAAATGTGATTTGTAAATGATTGTGCAGTTTATAATTTTTATTAATGTTTTTTAATTAAATTATTAATAAGTATTTATAAATTTGGTTAATGTTATTTATAGAAATTTATGGTATACTATTATTGTTTGCACAGAATTTTTTTAAAAATAAAAGGTCTGAATGCCCCGCACAGTGCGGGACATTTCTCCGCAGTGTGTGGAGCATGAACTTCGCACAGTGCGGAGCAAACCAATTTTTTTGTTCTCGACAAAAAGTCAACAATTGTAGGCATATAAATTGATTAAAAAATGATCTTTCCAAATTACCCTTAACCCACGTGTGAATAGTGGGAGACAGATAGGGGTAGTTGGTGTAAATAGTAGATGATGGAAATGAGACAATTTAGGCTAACGAAAATGCTTTAAAATGAACAGTACTCGAGGAATTCACTCTTTTAATATATATATACATACATAGAGAGAGAGAGAGAGAGAGAGAGAGAGAGAGAGAGAGAGAGAGAGAGAGAGAGAGTGTGTGTGTGTGTGTGTGTGTGTGTGTGTGTGTGTGTGTGTGTTAACGGCTAAACTAANAATTGTAGGCATGTTGTAGGAATAAATCCAAATCACCCTTGAACCTTATATGAATAGTAGAGGATGGATAGGGATGAATTGGGATTAAAAAAAAAGCTCTGTAATTTATTTATTTTTTCTTATTTTCTGTTTTAGTCAACAATTGTGGGTAACAAATAAGTCTATATTACCCTTTTGTTTTGATAAAATGAATGTTTCACAAAAAATCAACAATAAATAATGGGGGATAAAATGGGAATGAAAAATACTTCAAAATGAACAGTACTCGACGGATTGGCTCTTACAAAAAATCAACAGTAAATAATGGGGGATAAAATGGGAAAAATATTAATTGATGGGGATAAAATAGAAATGGAAAATGTTTCAAAATGAATAGTACTCGACGGATTGGCTCTTTTAATATAGTAGGGAAATATTCCTGTAAAGAAAGAGGAATCTTGGTATAAAAAAGAAAAGAAAAATGAAAGTGGTGTGTACGGTGTGGGCTTATGTTCATCGACGTTCCCAATATTTGATATTCTAAATCTTGGTTTTTTTATTTAGCCCTCCGTTTATTTGCCATTTATTTCTCATTTCTAGAATAAATTTTACCGTTGCAGCCTAGAGAAGCATCATTTTTTGACCAAAATGTGTCATAGTGGGCCATAGCCGGTTGAAAGTAACGGTCAAAATTTTCATTTTTTGCCAAAAATAATGGCAAACAAACAGTGTTTTTTACCGTAAATTTGACGGATTTTGACTGTAAGTTTTTTCGCACAAAAAAATTCAAATATAAGATTTTCTGCGATTTTTAATAGGTAGTTGTATATCGTATATGAAAACGTTTATAGGAGAGTTCTGCTATAAATCCTTTCAAAAACTAAAAAAAAAAAGTTTCTCTTTTTTAAAGAAATTCAAAAACTTAACAGTACTTTGTAAAAACTTTTGAAAAAGTTAGTATTAAAAAGTTCAGAAATTTGCCAAAGGAAACTTAATTACAAGCTTTGGCTTAAAATTAAGAGAAAATTACTTTAAACCATATTTTTTAAGTTTCACTTTCAAAAATTAGTTGTTAGTTTTTTTTATTTAAAAAATCAGGTTATATTTTATAATTTTTTTAGATATATAAATATATCAACTCCCATTACAATCCATACCCACTTGATACGCACCAGATGGTCATCACTCCACTCCACTGTACCCTACATACCACACTCATCCCAAGTCTCTCTCTCTCTCTCTCTCTCTCTCTCTCTCTATATCTATATATATATATATACACATTTATAATATGTGTGTCTCTTACTCAACCCCTAGTCCGACTAATGCCAACTCCACCACCATTAACTTCAACCACACAAAAAAAAAAAGGAAAAGGATTTGTACACGTGGCCACTCGAGTCATTTCCTATTCTTGTTGTCTAGTTTGGTTGGATTAATAATAGCTTTAATAGGTGACGTTAATGGTGTGGTCAGAGTTGTCAGACGATGCAGATGAACGACATTTAGGTTTTTTCTTTTTTTTATTTTTATTTTTTTTATTTTATGGTAGTTGAAGTTGGGAATTGATTTATGGTGTATTGAAAGTGCAAGTGGCTATGGTGTGGTAAAGGTGAAAGAGATCGAAGAGGTGGTGGATTTGAGTTTGTTTTGCATGTATGATTGCTGCTTCATGTGTACAAACCTGTAGTGGCAATGGGCATTCCATATATGTGTACTAATCTCTGTGAGGCATGTGTAGTGTTTGGAGGCGATGGCGATGAATTATGGTGTTGATTTCTGTATGGTGTGTGGTAGTGGTGCTATTGTTGTGATGCAATGACATCAATGTTATTTGGTAATGCTGGTAGTGGTAGGAGTCGTGGTGAGGCGACGGAAAGGTGAAGAGTAGTTGTGAAAATTATTAGGTAATTGTGACCAATAAATAAAATGTGTGATTTGTAACTAAATTTGTAATTGTAGCCTATAATTTATGTTTTCGCGATCGATAAATAAGTTGTGACTAATTAATTTGATAATTTGTGACCGTGAAATAAATTGTGACTTATAAAATTTGTTATTTGTAATCGAAAAATATTACGCGATCAATTAATTTGATAATTTGTTACCGATATATAAGATGAGTTACCGATAATTTAAAATTCACCAATAAATTTATATAACATGTCACAAGTGCTTAACATAAGATGAGTATGCACGCTCATTATATATATATATTAAAAGACCTATATATAAACCTAAATAAAATAAGAATTCTGCTGCATGTACAGTCCATTAAGGACGGTACATGGTGGAGGGAAATTCATAAAATAAACGAAGATCATCTAATTCTTGTATAGGCCATCTGGGTAGATTCATCAATGCCCTGAAAAAGTTGTCAGACTGCCAAGTTGATCTTTTTATTAAAAAAATCCATATGTCAAAATCTTTATACGTAGAACTTTGTTACACTTACACACTTTGGTACACAACTCTCTCACATATGTGTGGAATCCACGATGTGTACAAGCAGCATTTTTCATGTAAGAATTACATATTAATGGAACAAATATCAATTGATGTATTAATTCATTTTGAAATTTTATGATGGCAATGTATGTTAAAATTTAGGTTACATTCATGATGTAGTATTTTTTGTTATTATTATTATTTTATTTTTTTGTGAAGTTGAAAATTGATTAAAAAATAAATTTCTAATTTTATATACATTTATGCAATGTTTGGTACATTTTGTCGTTTTCAAAAATAACGTTTCATCTTATCTCTAGAGGATATAGGAGAATTCTATTCTAAATAAATTTCTTGTAATAATAGGATTTGCATCTTTTTCTTCGTTCTCGTTTTATATGGGATTTTTCTTTTTCTTTCTGTTTGGTACAAATTAAAATGAGAGAATGTATTTTTTTTAAAGTGATATAATAGAGAATGTTTTATTGAAAGAGAATAAAAGTTCATTGATGTGATGAAAAATATTATTTTATTGAAGAATATGTGGTTTAAAATGAATCGGAATATGAAAATGAAAATTTTAATGTGACTCAAATAGAGGCCTTAATTAGAATATACTCTCTCCTTTATTTGGATTAGGAGTTTGAAACTTCTATGATTTTAGTTGGTTTTATTTCTTTTAGGATTTCGATTTTCTTTCTCTATATTAATAAAATTAAGCAATCAATTTTCTTTTTGCACTTTTTAAACAATTTTCTTTGATAATTAGACCTTGACGAGGATTAAAATCAGATTTTTAATAAATTTTGATAAAAGTTGATAGGATGTGCCCATAAAATATGTTGTTGACTTTAATTTTCGTTAACATCCAAATTTTAATATTCTATTTGCAAAGTTTTCAATTTTATTCTTATTTGAAAAATTCAATTATGCTTTGGCATCACAATTGATCCAAATATATACAGTATAAATACAAGATCAAACCATGCAGACTGCAAATAGGCACAAAACACGACAAACAAATCTCTATGATAAATCTCTTTTCTTCCTCTTCTCACACACACAGTTGAACAAATTGATTAGATTTTTGCTTGACAGAGTTTGAATTCATGAATCCAGAACCAGATAATGGCTACCCAATTACTTTACCGCTCTTGGATGGCGTATGTGAGAAGGGACTGGACTCTACTCATCACTCGCACGCCATTCCAGGCTCTACGTCTTTCTTCAAAACCTGCTTCAATGGACTCAATGCTTTGTCAGGTTTTTTCTTCATCCCTGCGAGTATTTATCTGGCATATCACAGAAATTAAGTTATTTTGAAGAAATTTTTCTGGGTTTCTTCTTCAACTTTAATCTGATCTATTTTGTTTGAGTTTTTCGTTCAGTGAATGTGCCTCTGTGGAAAATGTTTACGAATTAGGAAATTTATGTTAATAATCCAGACAAATTATTGAAAAGGCATGGAGGAAGACTTTCTATAAAAAGTTAGGCATTTAGCCCCTTTGAATTAGATTGTTTTTTTTATTACAATAGGTTCAATTCAATGCCATTAGCATATGTTTGGCTAAGCTTAAAAAGTGATTTTTAAGTACTTAATTTTTCCCCAGTAGTACTGTGTCATCTAGCGTACTGAACATGTGATAAACATCGTTTCGAATTATAGGCCAAATGAATCCTTGGTTCTTTGTTATCAGGTGTAGGAATATTGTCAGTACCATATGCACTGGCTTCAGGGGGGTGGTTGAGCTTGATACTTCTCTTCGTTATTGCGAGCCTAACCTTCTATACGGGCTTGTTAATTCAAAGATGCATGGATATGGATCCAAATATAAGAAGCTATCCCGACATTGGCTATCTTGCATTTGGATTTAAAGGAAGAGCATTCGTGTCCATTACGATGAATTTGGAACTCTACTTGGTGGCAATAGGTTTCTTGATCCTAGAAGGGGACAATTTACATAATATATTTCCGAACATGGATTTCGAAATTGCTGGTCTTGTTATCGGTGGAAGACAGGGTTTCGTAATCATTGTTGGCCTCATTATATTGCCTACTGTTTGGTTGAACAACATGAGCATTCTTTCATATATATCTGCTAGTGGAGTTTTAGCTTCTTTTATATTATTGGCGTCAATGCTATGTGCTGGTGCATTTGACGGCATCGGATTTCATGAAAAGGGAACTCTTTTGAATTTGAAGGGGATCCCGACTGCTGTTAGCCTGTATTCGTTCTGTTATTGCGCTCATCCAGTTTTCCCCACTCTGTATACTTCCATGAGAAACCAGAAGAAATTTTCAAAGGTAATGTATGATTTAGATTTGAACACCACTGGATTGTCTGTTTGGCAGCTGATGTTGATTTAACATTGCAGGTGTTGCTCATCTGCTTTCTCGTTTGTACTATTAGCTACGCGTCAATGGCAGTTTTGGCATATCTGATGTTTGGCTCTAAGGTAGTGTTGGATATGGCTCATTTCAACTTGTTTTTTCTTTAGCTAGTGTTTGGCCCCATTAATTTATTTTCAATTTTTCTCTCTCTTAATTTTAACCATTTATTCTCCAAGTAAAATAATATTACATACAAATCTAAAAAAATTCATTATTTTTCAACCGCACATTCTCCTATCAATCATTGTTCCAAAATTTAAAATTTCCCCAAAATGGAGGCCAAACAGTAGTTTAAAGATTTGCTTTGATATAAATAAAAGGAAGAATAAGTGTGTTTGATGTATGTTATTGAAGAAAGAATATATTTTAAATAGTGATGTGATGGGAAATATGTGGTTAAAAAGTAAGAAAAAGTTATTAATGTGATGAAAAATGTGTGGTTGAAAATGAATTTTAAAATAATATATTCTGAAAGAATGTTCGTCAAATAGGGGCTAAATAAAGAAGATATTATTGAATTGGCAAGAGAATAAAGATTTGCTTTGATATATATAAAAGGAAGAATAAGTGTGTGTTTGATATATATTATTGAGGAAAAAATGTATTTTAAATAGTTATGTGAAGAGAAATACGTGGTTAAAAAGTAAAGAAAAATTATTGATGTGATGAAAAATATTATTTTATAAAAAATGTGCGATTGAAAATGAATTTTAAAATAATGTATTTTAAAACATGGACCGAATAACGAAGATATTAGTGAATTGGCAAGAGAATCAATGAAACAAGTAAACTTTCTTTGACAGTAGAGGAGTTGTGGTATAAAATTAGAGAATTTATTGCATTAAATAATTCTACCTAACACACAACTAGGTGTAGCATATCATATTTCCTATTAAATAGGCCATGATTCTTTGTATTTAATGCCTGTTTGGTGCTCATTTCCCCTTCATTTTAGTGCCTGTTTGAAATTGAAAGAAATTTTATCTGTTTATGTGTAGAATATTTTATTATTTGAATGTGTAGTAAAAATTGATTACTTTAGAAAATAATTTTTTGAAAAATGGTAGACGAACATAGGCCAGTATTTTTCACACCGTTGCACATTTCAATTTTCTTCCACCCTGACACACAGGAATCTTTTAATCCAAATTAATGTTGTTGGAGGCTTGGGGGTAAAAAGGGTAAAACATGTTCAGTTTCCACTTGCACTTGTCCTTTGTGTGTCAGAATTACCATCAAATTGAATTTGGTATGCATCGTGCAACGGTCCAATAATGTCTTAAAGTGGGCCAAAAATATGCACCAAATCGGTGTTTAATTGAACATGTAATTTAATATCATAAGTAATATCGCTTAAATTAGTGTAAAACACCAGTAATGTATTATTGTCCGTCTTGTAATGGTTATTTTCTCAACAGGTACAATCTCAAGTAACCTTGAACCTTCCAACGAACAAAATCAGCTCTAAAGTGGCAATTTACACCACACTCGTGAACCCAATAGCGAAATATGCTTTGATGGTGACACCAATTGTGCGAGCCGCAGAAAATCGTTTTCAATCTTTCCACAACAGAAGACTCGTAAGTATACTGTTAAGATCCACCTTGGTGATTAGCAGTATCATTGTAGCCATTGCAATCCCCTTTTTTGGTTATCTAATGTCACTTGTTGGAGCATTTTTAAGCATAACAGCTTCAGTTATACTTCCATGCTTGTGCTATTTGAAGATTTCTG